GCGGTGTTCTCATTTTCTAAGGAAACTTTTTGATGGATTCACTAAAATAAAATATGCAAAGTATCCAGATGAAAATTTTAATTTTATCAAGAGTAAATTATCAAATTTATAGAGTAAAATATTTGAACTAATATTTGTATTGCATCAAATGTTAAATATCAAGTTGCTAATACAAATTTTTCCAAATAAAGTTTTTCCTGCAATTTATTCAAGTTAAAATTAACATTGGTTTAACAAAATAATTTTTAGATAGTTATTTTGATAAGATATTTTGATAGATTCACTAAAATAAAATATGTAAAGTATTCAAAGGAAAATTTTAATTTTACCAAGAGTATTTTGATAGTAGTAGTTCGTGTAAAACGATTCTATAGTGCAAAAAATGAACTCATCATTTTTTTTCCTTCTCTCTTTAATATCCGTGAAGAAAAATTGAATTTCGTGAAAGAAGTTGAAAATCCTTTTTGGGTGGACATGTTTTTCTGTTTCGGGTGTGAGATTTAGTTGAATAGGGCTTGCATGCAAATATGCAGAGAATCAAATTAATTTCCCATTAACCTTGACCTGCACTGTCTGGATTCGTAATTGGAATAATAGGTATCAAAAGAAAACCAAATCCAAGAATCATTTTGCTATTATCATCAATTTTAACGTCGGAAAGGTGGGAGTTTGTGTTTTTCTTTGAATTTAGTAAACTTATTTTAATTTATTTTACTTCTTAAATTCAGAAAACAGGCTTTCATCCTTTGAATTTAGTTAACTCACTTTGTATTTACATATTTATTCTTATAAATTTAGTAATCAAAATGTACAGCAAAATCATTTGAATTTCAAGAGCAAGGGAATTTGATGAATAATTGATTTTTATAAAGGATTCATATGGTTTGTGAAAAAACTTTCTAATTGAACGTTCAATATAATTTAAGTTAACTTCAGAATATCAGCTCTAGAAAGGATAAAAATATTAGAAAAATGTTGAAAAAAATTATTCTTGATTCAAATGTGAGTTATTTAAAAATTTGCAAATGAATTTTTTTTTATCTCACATTTAGTTGACCATGTCATAAAAATCGAAACACTGAGTGTTTTCAATGAGTAACTGTAATCAATATAAGAATCAACGAATACAACCGACTTCTCGCTGTGCTGTCAACTTTATAAATTTATTTATTTCTATTTTATAACCATCGTTGAACAGATGATCCAATTTTTTCGGTTTACGACTTCTAATGATCAACTCCTTAGCTTTGTAATTTTGAACCCAACTCAGAAGACAAGGGAACTCCTGGATCAATTATTGGGCGAAATTTGCTTTAGTGAAGGACTTTATGATGGCGCTAACCCGCATTTGCGTTGTATGGAGAGGAAGACCACAAGAACCTCCCACGGTTAGCCTGACGGCAAAGGGACTGATATAACCCATGATCCATTTACCACTGAGGATATTTCACAACAGTACTGTGGTCGGTGTAAACCGGATGCGGATTCATATAGACCAGTCATCGCCGGGATTCGAACATGATTCGTCTCATTGGAAGGCGCACGCTATATCCCCTGAGCCATCGCGGCTTTATTTATTTGTATTGAGGAAAACATTAAAAATGCAATTTTATGAATATTCTTTAACGAAATTTTTCATTATTTTTATTTCTTGCCTTACAAAATTACTAAAAGCCCGTCCCAAATTCTCCATTTTTTTTAAATAAAATAAGCTCTTACGTTTCGAATTATTCTTATTTAATGATTCTTCAAAATGAATTCAATTAAATTAATTGTTATATAAAAAGACATACCTAATTTAATTAGTTAGTATATAACTTGAACATGAGCGATCTGCAAACCAGCGAAAAAAGATTCAGAGTTATTTTTATCACAGATTTTCGGTTTAATGAGAACCGAAAATTTTATATACTGTAACTAGATAAAGCTTTTTGATTGTTATACACTTTACTTAATATATTAATATAAAAAATAAAAATTAGTAATAAATGTAAATAAAAGGCATTAAACCAACTGGCATTATTCAGGGAATAAAAATCATGACTAAACTAATGAAATTACTATCAAAAGAAAACTTTCTTGCGACTTTATTAAGATTAAATTTTGAAGGTTATGTAAATTATCTAAAAAAATATACAAATATATAAGTGTTTATAACATGGAGACGATAAATGGAAAAATAATCTGAATTCCCTTAAAAAAAGTAAGTAAAATACTGATAACAATTCTACACAGTTGAATATAATTTTATACTAAAATAACAGATGTATCAGATGTAAATTAACAGGCGTAATCTAAAATATTAATAATACTTTACTCAAAAGTAAGTAAATGACTATAACAGAGTTTAGGTTTCTTGAAAACCCAAGGTTTTTATTCGTAGCAAGTAGATTATAAGACCCATAAATGTATTATAAATCAGGAAATTTATCCCATATAGGTTGAAAATGTTTAATCAACCAATATATTTAATAAAATTACACGAATTTCATAAAATTCCTTGAATAAAAAGTCGCGAAATAAAAAATAAAATTATCTCTCTCCCTTTTTTACTCTATATAACGTCGCTGATAGCTAAAATTTTTCCCCCAAAAAGTAAGTAAACAACTATAACAGTTTTTCAGTTTCTAGAAAACCACCAGTTTCATTAATAGTAAATAGGTTAAACTTTTTGATTATTAGACACTTTTTGCTTTTATTACTATTCATAACTTACCTATAAACAAGGAATCCTATATAGGTTAAAAGTGTATGACAACCTGAAATTTTTTTTGAAAACACTTTTTATTGTATTCTGCGAATAAAAAATCATGAACAAATGTGTTAAATAAAAAATAATTTTTCTCCTTCTTTACTTTGAAGTTATTGTAACTTCGTTAACTCGTAATTTTTTTCTGAAACAAATTAAGTAAATACCTATAACAGTGTTTCAGCTTCTAGAAGAACAACAGTATTATTTAGAGCAAATAGATAACGCTTTTTGATTATTAGATCCATAAATTTACTATAAACAAAGAATCCTATATTGGTTAAAAGTGTATGACAAACTGAAAATTTTTATAGAACCACACTTTTTATTGTATTCTACGAATAAAAAATCATGAGCAAATTTGTTAAATAAAAAATAATTTTTCTCCTTCTTTATTTTGAAGTTATTGTAACTTCGTTAACTCGTAATTTTTTTCTGAAACAAATTAAGTAAATACCTATAACAGTGTTTCAGCTTCCAGAACAGTGGTTTCCAACTGGCGGCGCGGGGGCCGCATCCGGCATGCGAAGCCTTTTTTTGCTGCCCGCGAACTAAAATATATTAGTTGTCATTTTTTTGCGGACAATTTTCGTAAAGAATCTAGAAGGGTTTAAAACACTTTTCTCGTTAATAAAAACCTAATTTCTTCGTTTCTGTGAAATTTAACATACCAACTGTGCAAAAAATTTATCTCTCAGGTTTTGCACCCAAGAAAATATTTATTCAAATACAAAAATAATCGCGTATGTTACTATTTTTTATTTCATTTTTTTGTATTTTGGGAATATAATTTAGCATCTGTGTATCAAAAATTTTTTCGAAGAAATTCTCCGATTTAACTTTCTGAAACCACTCATTTTGGATGAAAATATTTGTACACACATTTGTAAATTTTAAATTTAAAATGTAAAAATCTATTCTCTGGTGGTTGCAGCAGACAAACCTCTCTTTTCTCATTGAACATTTTGTGTACTACTATGTAAGTTTTAATACCAACCTTTTTAAAGTTTTATATCTTAACAATTAGATATCTGTTGCACATTGATTGATTAATACATAAGTGCACATTAAAGTTATTGTAGCCCAAATTTTTTAATATGCAATTAAATATTTTTAAAAATTTAATTGCATATTTTAATTTGTAATGCAATACTTTTGTTTTGTACAACTTCGTAAAAATCTGAATGTAATATTTAATGCTCCTTCAAACATAAAAAGAGTCCTACATGAAATTTTGATGAAGTTGCGGCTCGCCATTTAATCTGTGTTTTCAATCGTAGCCCCCGGCCTCATGTAAGTTGGAAACCCCTGTTCTAAAAGAACAACAGTATTATTTAGAGCAAATATATAACGCTTTTTTTTTATTAGATCCATAACTTTATAAACAAGGAAATTTCTCCTATATAGGTTGAAAGTGTTTAACCAACTGAAACTTTTCATAGAACTACACTTTTTATTGTATTCTGCGAATAAAACACTTTGAGCAAACTTGTTAAATAAAAAATCAAACTTCTTCTTACTTTGAAGGCCATATAATTTCTCTCGAAGATTGCCATCTTGATGACCAACTTAGAGGCTTGAAAGTACTTTTTTTCTACGAAAAGTAGCATTAACCTGCATTGAAAGGGGCATTTTCAGTTTTCAGAACCTTTTTTTTTTATTGTTTTTTAGTAACTCAAGATTTACAATGCAGAAATACGTGATTCAAGGAAATGTTGATACAGAACATTTATTTCCGATTTGAAAAAGACTAAAATTATAGGGTATTTAAGAAAGGAAGGTCTTTTAAATAAATGGTATTCAACAATTTTGTTTCTTTTGTCTGTGACTGGGATAACGTTTTCTTACCGACAAGTTAATCTTTGGCAATTGGCAAATCTCTTCAAAATAGTTTTTTTTCTTCTTTTTTTTTGTAGAATTAACGAAATAGCTAATCTTTCGCAGATGTCTAACTACGGGATTTTTCAAGTTACTGTAGCTATTTGAGGAGCTTATTTTGTAGACAAAGTAGAAAGAAATAGTTAATAAAAGACTAATCCAATACTGGCGCATTTCATAATCTATTAAATNTAACATTATAACCTGGAAACATTGAGACCGAAATGTTTTAAATAGCACTCAATATTGGGAATTCCTTATTTCCACCAAGAGCGCACTATTTTCACTCAGGTATATACTACTACTCTGAATATACTATTTTCCCTCAGGGATACTTTCCACTTTGAACATACCATTTTTCTTTCAAGGACATAGCACTTAGAACATATTTTCACACCACTCAGAATATAATATTTTCATTCATTGGAGCACCAGTAATAACACGTAACGCACGACACACTGTTAGAACACTATTTTCACTTGAAAAAAAACACATTTAAGTACAACACTTAGAGCACTGCTTAATAAAACTTGTAAATTAACTTTAACAGTTGAATTTATACGCGTGACTCTTCTTGGAAATATATCTTTTTAGATTGACCAACAAATGTGCTTTCATTCCAAACTGGAAGCGGGGTATAGCGCATCACTTTGTGTTTGGTGGAAAAAACGCTATTGCAACTTGTGCAACTCACGCATTCTCCATCACAGTTTCCAAATTCTGGACTCAGTTTCTCTTTGGCTAAATGGTACACACTTCCATCAGATAAATCTTTGTACTGATTAAATTGCAAACGCATTGAAAAGTTTGGATCGGAGCTGAATCTGCGACGGGACATTTCCCCATTGTTGTGATTGGCTTCATCCGAATAGGATAATCCCATGTATTTTGAGAGATTTTTAACATCAGGGGCAACTTTGTCTCGTGTGTTGGTGTTCAAGCGAGTTTGGAGAAGGGGTTCTGGAGTAGGAACAGCTGCATTGGCGTGAGGTATGCGATTGGAAGATGAAGCAGAACTAGATGGTTGGAGGCTCCTTGATTGCAACCATTTCCAACAGCAGCAAAAGCAACACCAGAAGCAAGTGCAAGGATTTCCTGCGCATATTTTTTCTCGAAAAGCAACTCGAAAACGATTGGACATAACACTGTAGAGCAGAGGATTGATGGTCGAATTAAAGTAATAAAAACATCCTGAAAAAAATGTCCATGTTGGTTAGGTTGTAAAAATAAGATGCATAGATTATATTTTAGACAATAGGTGAATTCAGGAAAAAAATGCTACACTTGCGGGAAAATTGCATAGTTTTTTTTTAAATCAATGAGTTTTAAATCAATCAGTGAGATGTCATATACTTAGCATCAGGTTAATTTAGCAATAAGTAATATCCTGACAGATATAAATAGTTGGATACGTTGATATAAACAGGGTGTCCCAAAACGACCGCATAAAACACTTTATTGGACATATCAACAACAGTATTTGCATATCTTTCCAGGCGATAACGTTTGAAACGCTCGCCGCGCACATTCTGCTTTAAATTGTGCATAGTATACTGCTGTTGATATGTTCAATGAAGTGCTTTTTCTTGCACCGGCAGTGACGCCATGCTTTGTTTTTCGTATTTTTCTCGTAAACTATGGATCGTACAGGAACGCCTCTTTGGGCAGTTTTTTTGTACTCCCAACGAGGAATCTAGCTGTGCAGAGTTTATGCGGTCGTTTTGGGACACCCTGTATATTCTACAGTCCCTCAAGGTGCAGGTACTTTTTACCGGAAATTTTTTTACAGTGTAAATTACCCCATTATTTAATGAGTAAGCGGGGAACAATCTGAAAGGAACTTGAAAAGAAGTTCTATGAGATGGCGAACTCAGCGAGCAGAAGACGGGACGACCTATACTCAGTTGCAAGTTAAGAAAAAACCATTATCCTTACTGAGAGAGCTTTTTGTTTGCATTTACGTGTATGCCAAATGGATGCTAAGATCCCAACGCAAACCTATATCAACAACTCTTGAAACGACGTTTCACGGGCTGCCTTCAGTTTTCTTTCTTAAATTTTGCAAAATTAGGAAAATAAAACTTATTGAATAAAAACTATTGTTTTGTCAATAAGAATTAATATAAATGATATCTAAAAATCGTAACAAATATTCGTCTTTCTGCTCGCGTTTAAAGAAATCGATGAATGAATAATAAATATTGTTTACTGGAGACGATTTTCTACAACAACGGGCAAAAATTAAAAAAAATTCGTTATCTCGCGTTTGATTTGTTAAGAATATGTCAGCATAAGACGCGCCATTTCTAGTGGTCCAATCAAATCCAGTGCTCTTGCAACGACATATAGTTTCTTTTTCTTAAGAACGAATGTTCTCCTTATTTATCTAAATAAGCCGTCAAATCTAGGATTCCAATAAGACTACGAAATTATATCCCTTTTTTTAATAATTCTATGACATATATGACACCCGGAGGCTGAGTGGTAGCGCTTCGTTTGCTTGTGCCGCAGGTCCTAGGTTCGATCCAGGTCCAGGTCCTAGGACCGGCCAAGGTTGACTCAGCCTTTCATCCCTTCAGTGGGTGGATAAACTGAGTACCAAGCAAGCGCTTGGGTACCAAACTCTGGGTTTTCCGCTGACAATCGGAACATTTGCTCCTGCACCCCAGAGCCCGAGTTCAAGAAAACTGAGATGGGCACAGTAGGCCTTGACCCTCTTTGGACTGTCACGCCACTGAGTTTATTTTATTTTATGACATATATATCGTAAAAGATAACACAAATTAAATTTCTCTCTAATGAGTTTAACTTTTAAAAACTTTTATTTTATTGATAGCATATTTATATAATTTGACAACTAAATAAAACTGAACTACACTCTATAACAAAAAAAATCGACGCACCAGGAATGAGTTGTGCGATTGAAACGAAAATTGATGGATAGGAAGACAATGTACAGAATAGTAAATGATTAAAATTTCAGAACAATTGAATAATTTATTGCAGAGTTACAGTAACAAGTTCAATAAGGTGTTGACCCGCCTCTAGCCTGGATACAAGCTGCCACACGGCGTGGCATAGACCGATAAAGCTCCCGGATGGTCTCTTGCGGTATTTCCTGCCAAATTCGATCCAATTGTCGAACGAGGTCATCAACATTCCGTGCCAGATGCAATCGCCTTCCCATCATATCCCAGACATGCTCGATGGGAGAGAGATCTGGTGATCTGGCAGGCCAAGGAAGAGTTTGACAAGCTTGCAGACAGTTCATAGCAACACGTGCCGTATGTGGTCTGGCATTGTCCTGCTGAAAAACCAGCCCAGGGCGCTGCAAAAGGAACGGTAGCAAAACAGGTCTTAGGATGTCGTCGACGTACCGCTGTGCAGTAAGTGTACCTCTAATGACGACCAAAGGGGTCCGGCTGTCAAAGGAAATGGCACCCCAGACCATAATGCCTTGTTGAGGGCCGGTGTGGCGTGCGATAGTGAAGGCAGGATCCCCCCTCTTCCCTGTGCGTCTCCAAACGCGTCTTCGATGATCGTCTGGTCACAGTTGGAAGCGGGATTCGTCGCTAAAGACTATACGTCCCCAGTCGGCATCATTCCAGCCTGATCTGCTCAAAACATTCATGCATACGAAATTTCAAAGCAATCGGATGATTTCTTCTTGGTGCCTCGATTTTTTTGTTATAGAGTGTATATGCAGTCAGGGATGTTTATTTAAATCCTATACCGCAATGATCTTTTCTTAACTCGCTCCGAACTATAGTCACTTTGTATTTTTTATATTGTCAGTTAATTATGCATAAAAATGGAAAAAAAATTTCAATAAATTAAAGTTTTTTTTTTTGAAGTCTCTATTGAATGAAATAACCTTGCTTGCGAATAATATGCTATATTCATTATAATAATATTCATAACTGCTTAGCAACAGTTTTACATCACGGTTAAATTTGGCCTATCACTAGCCAGTGTACTGCTATGCTAATTCTAAAAATGGCGCAAAACGTCAATATGAAAAAAGCCACAGCTTTGTGAAAAAGAAAAGCGTTTGTTATCTAATTTTTCTTTTTTCAATATTTAAAACTTTACTCCGACGTTGTATTGTCAGGGCTCATAAAATTTACCAAAGTTGAGATTATTCTTTACTTTGATAGTTTTCTCCGAGATGGAAAAATCTTACCACCATGTAGGTGATTTTTTTTTAAAAATTACATTAACTTCAGCATTAAAGTAATATCAAATAATTATCTAAGGCAAAATGGAATGTAAAAAAAGTTCGAAATTATTACAATTTTTCCTGTGCCTAAAGTATACTGCTCTTAATTTGTGGCGTTTTTAAATTCCTTGAAGAAAACTTTGGGAAATATTGTTATTTTAGTATATATTCTATCTCATTTTCAATTAACCTAATGCGCATTAGAGATTAGATTGAATTATAGGTTTTTACAGAAAGGAATCCCATTAAAAGAAAGCTCACAACATCTTTTGATAAAGTCATTAAGAAAATAAATAGATTAAATTCAAACGGCCACCATTTAACACTGCATGAGCAATTAATCTGTCTACTAAATGAAACCAGCCTTCTCTATCTATCATTTTATAACTACTCCATGTTATTCAATTCGTAGATTTTTTTTCCGATTACATATTCATTTATAATTTTTTATGCGGAAGGGAAAACTGGAAATCATTTTGAAAGTTGTGGTTTGAGCCTAATATGGATATCTCAAGTTTCCCCCTTTCCTGATGTAATCCTTACCCGCTACCTTGAATTTAGAGAGAGGTGAAAAAGTAAAAAAAAGATAAACTCAATTTTTGTTACCTAGACAAATGAGGTATTTATTCTAAAAGCATTTTTAATTTTGTATGAATGAAATCAAGAACAGTTTAACAGTCATAAAAAGTTTTGGTATGTACGAGGCTCATCCAGAAAGTAAGATTCCCTATTTTTTTTTAAAAAAAGAACTCATACTTTCAGGAACATATTTATTGGCAACAAGTACAGCAATCTTTCAGCTATTTTCTTAACATAGCCACCACCAGAATTGAGATACTTATCGTATCGTGGGATTAACTTTTGTATCCCTCTGTCGTAGAACTCTGCCGACTGTAAATGGAACCAGCGTGTGACAGACTGACAGACGTCTTCAGCTCTTCGTCGTTGCCAAAACGCTCACCGGAGGACAAGAACTTCTTGAGGTGTAAGAAAACATGAAAATCGCTGGGATCGAGATCAGGGCTGTAGGGTGGATGATCAAACAACTCCGAGCCAAATTTCGTCAAAACAGCTGTTGTGCGTCGAGTCATATGTGGACGAGCATTGTCATGGAGAAGCACAACACCTGCAGTAAGCATTCCACGCCTCTTGTTTTGAATGGCACGTCGCAATTTCTGCAGTGTTTCACAGTAACGGTCAGCGTTTACTGTTTCACCACGTGGTTCCATTCACAGGCGGCAGAGTTCTAAGACGGAGGGATACAAAAATTGATCCCACGATACGACAAGTGTCTCAATTCTGGTGGTGGCTATGTTAAAAAATAGCTGAAACATTGCTGTGCTTGTTGCCAATAAATATGCTCATGAAGGAATGAATTCTTTTTTTTAAAAAAATAGGGAAACTTACTTTTTGGATGCGCCTCGTATAATGTGCAAAAAATTCAACTTTTTGATATAATCTCAACCTTCTGATATCAACCTACGTGTCTATCGCTATTTAAAAAAGTGAGGCATTGTTTCCAACGTAGTTTGTTGTGCGAAATAAAATTGGATCATATGCGGCAGAGGTAATGGTATTTAAGTCAAAAATACTCATTATACATTAAAAAACTTTACAACTTCTATATTTTTAGTTTATCCACGCTGTTTTTCGGCTTCATTCGGTGCAGCGGAAAATAATACATTGAAAACAATACTTAACTTTTCCAACTGGGTATGTTTGAAGCGCAATTAGGTTGTATTCAAATTTCGTACTTTTTTTTTAGGTTATACATACACAGCCTTACTATCTTCTAAGCTCTTATTCCTACCGACTTTGTTTGGGTCAAATTAGATTCTGTGTAAAAAGAGTATTAAAAAACCAACAAATCATTTATCTAAAAAGTTCTGTTTACTTTTTTCTAATTTTTAAAGCATTGTCTCTCTCTCAATAATTGCACGACGGCGAATGAAGATGCGCTCAGATTTGAGACAAAGATTTCGGGTCTAAATTAAAAACATTTTAAGAACTAATTCCAACCTTCCTCTAATTACTTCCTTACTGAGCAGTTTTTATTAACAGGAAACTGGTCTATTGATATACTGATGAAAACAAAAGGGAGGAGTGTATCTTATTTTTTTAAAAACAAGAACAAAATAAGAACCACTATTACACAAATTAGGTATCCGATGGCAGCTAAGCTCTTCAATGGGCACCTTTGCCACTCAGTGGCCTGTCTCAAGGCAGTGGTGCTGTCATCGCATTTATGTAGAGGTACCTCATTTGCTCGCTGAAGCTTGTAGCGTGAAGACGTTGATAAACATCGTGGCTTAGCCCAATCTTTGAATTTAAATTTTTTATTTATTTATCCATTGTTAGTAGGGCCAGTCGTTACGATGTCACAAGATGCTGGATACTTTGAAACGGATCAATAACAGACTACCTGTCGTAGGGACCTCGGGATTTCGAAAAATGCAGCGTCCACTCTGTGGAAACAGTTCACAGAGACAGGAAGAGTGCTCAGTTGACCTGCCAAGACCGTAAAAAGACAACAAAAGCTGCTTTAGAGAGCAAAAGGAGCTCTTAAAGGCTTCTTTAGATTTGAGACTTCTAGCCAAAAGGAATAGGTCCAGGACAGCAAAGCAATTGTCTCGCTGGCTGTATAATTGTATAGTACAACCGGAACAGCCATTTCACGGATAACAGTCGCGAAGAGACTTAATGCAGGTGGCTTGTATACCAGGCGACCTGCAGTCTGCGTCCCTTTGACTGTGAACCCAAAAAATACCGTCTAGTGTTTAGCATGGTGTCGATAACACCTATCCTTGACCAACGATTATTGGGGAACGGCTGTCTTTAGTGTTAAGTCGCGATTCAGTCGATAAAGACCACTATGGTAGAGGTGGTCTGATGATTTGGGAAGGCATCTTGGCAGACGGATATACCGACTTCATGCGTTCGATAGAAGGACTCTGATTGGTTAGCGGTACTGGGACGAGATCCTTGCACCCTTTGTGAGACTTCTCAGTGGAGCATGCGGACTAAACTTTATCTTAATGGACGATAACGATCGCACATATAGGTCTTAGTTGGTAAACAAGCACCTCCGATCAGAAGATATTCAATGCAGTGGCCTGCGATGTCCCCTGACCTTAATCCCATCTGGGTGCCCTAGAGCCAGGTAGAACTATCATTAATGAACTCAAGGATGCCTTGGTGCAACAGTGGCTACGGTTGCCACAGGGATCGAAAAGAACCCTGATAAACAATATGAAACACCAATGCGAGTCAAATGAATATTTATTTACAATTTCCTTCCAAACTGGTTACAAAATCAATATTTATGCGTCAAAAAAAATAATAGGAAAGGTATGTTTATTCAGTAAAAATACGTTTTTGTGTCTGATTTCGTAACTTAAAATATCGTCTGCTCTAACTAATTAGCATATTTGAGGTGCCCCCTCTAAACATTAAAATTGAGTCCCAGAGCGTAAAGATCCGATCGTTAGTTCAAAAGTTACTCAGGGTGGTTGTTTTTTATTTTACAAACTGTTCTTTAATGAAAAAAAAAAGAAAAATTTCCGTTATTAATTAAGTTGAAAAGAAAAGGTCAATTTTATCGTTTTTCCTTACTACGCAACCTAAACAAAGATCTAAAAGCTTCTTTTTTAATCACGCACCTTGCTTTCCTATTTTTCTTTAGAACAAAATTTTTAAAATGTGACGAACTGATCTTTGAAGTTAAATTTAATAAAGAATCTGATTTATTTATTTTTTATTATTTCCAAACAAATAGGATAAGGTTTGGCGCTCATTAACAAGTTCCGCCACTAGATGGGCTCTGACCTTGGAATGACAAGATGATTGATTGCTCAAAGTTTACCTACGTCGGCCCGATTTTGAGACAGTGTCTAGAAATCCAACGGCCCGACTCTCTAAACCAGCGTCTTTTTATCCTTTGCACACACACACCCGGCATGCATAGCGGAGAAGAAAAGACTTCATTGCGGCAATGCATTTAAATGTACCTTGGCGCTCATGCATATTTTAGGATCTATATTCTAATACATCGTTGGCGAAACTAATTGAAGTGAAAACGTGATAGAAGGTCTTCACTGTGGCAAGAGATCAGTTAACGAGTTGGGTAGATGAAAATCGCCATAACATTTTTCGCGTCATAACAATGAAGTGAAGGATATTAATGATGTTAAATGAACAATGGCGTGTGAACAGGGAGTTGATTTCTAGTGAAACTTTGTATATTCTTAAACGGTGTTTTACATTAAAATAGATACTTCTAAATGTTAGAGATTTTGATCGCATCAAAATAAGTATGATAAATGAGAATTTTATGGTTTTGATGGATAAAAAAAAAAGAAGAAAACCCTGCTTTTTTTATTTTATTGTTTGCTATTTTAAATTTTCGCTGGATAAAATATTTCAGAACCTATTTTAGTAATTATTATTAATGGATTTTTGACCGAATTTTGTCGTTAAAATTAAATTTCATGTCATAATAATGAAGTGAAGGATATTAATGATGTTTTATGAACATCGAGATAATTTCTAATGAAAGTCATTATTTTTGAAACAATGTTTTACACTGAAATAGATACTTCTAAATCTTAGTGATTTCTATCACGTCGTAATCATTTGATTCTTTGAACTTTATATATATTATTTTAAACGGTGTTTTACATTAAAATAGATACTTCTAAATGTTAGAGATTTGATCGCATCGAAATAAGTATAATAATTGAGAATTTTATGGTTTTGATGGATAAAAAAAAAAAGAAGAAAAGCCTGCTTTTTTTACTTTATTGTTTGCTATTTTAAATTTTCGCTGGACAAAATATTTTAGAACCTATTTTAGTAATTATTATTAATAGATTTTTGACCGAATTTTGTCGTTAAAATTAAATTTCATGTCATAATAATGAAATGAACGATATTAATGATGTTTTATGAACAATGGCGCATGAGCATCGAGATAATTTCTAATGAAATTTACTATTTTTGAAACAATGTTTTACTCTGAAATAGATACTTCTAGATCTTAGTGATTTCTATCACGTCGAAATCCTTTGATTCTTTGAACTCTCTATATATTATTTTAAACGGTGTTTTTACATTAAAATAGATACTTTTCAATGTTAGAGATTTTGATCGCATCGAAATAAGTATGATAAATGAGAATTTTATGGTTTTGATAGATAAAAGAAAAAGAAAAGAAAACCCTGCTTTTCTTTTTTTTAATTTTATTGTTTGCTATTTTAAATTTTCGCTCCACAAAATATTTCAGAACCTATTTTAGTAATTATTAATAGATTTTTGACCGAATGTTGTCGTAAAATTAAATTTCAAGTCATAATAATGAAGTAAAGGATATTAATGATGTTTTATGAACAATGGCGCATGAGCATCGAGATAATTTCTAATGAAACTTATTATTTTTGAAACAATGTTTTACACTGAAATAGATACTTTTGAACCTTAGTGATTTCTATCACGTCGAAATCATTTGATTCTTTGAACTTTATATAAATTATTTTAAACGGTGTTTTACAATAAAATAGATACTTTTAAATGTTAGAGATTTCTATCGCATAGAAATAATTTTGATAAATGAGAATTTTATAGTTTGATAGATAAAAGAGAAATCTTAGTGATTTCTATCACGTCGAAGTCATTTGATTCTTTGAACTTTATATATATTATTTAAAACAGTGTTTTACATTAAAATAGATGCTTTTAAATATTAGAGATTTCTATCGCATAGAAATAATTTTGATAAATGAGAATTTTATGATCACTTTTTTTAATATTTGCTTTTTTTAAAATTTTCGGGCTTCAAAATATTTCAGACCTTATATTACTGTTATTATTTATTATATTATAACAGTAATATATGGATTTATTACTGTTATAATATAATATAACAGTATTATTATAAATCGATATTTTTTTAGTAATTATTATAAATGGAATTTTACTTAGAATTTTAAATTACAGTTGTATACTTGAATTTCAGGTCATAATAATGAAGTGAAAGATATTAATAATACTTATAAACAATGGAGCGTGAACATTGAGATAATTTCTAATGAAACTTATTATTTTTTAAACATTTTTTTTACACTGAAATAGATACTACTTCTAAATCTTAGATATTTCTATCGCGCCAAAATAATTTAAATCATTGATTTTCTTTTTTTCATTTCATGATTCAATTGAATACAAAATGTATAAT